AAACCAAGGGACAGAGTATTTGTAAAATTAGACTGGGAGAAACGTGGAACGCCAGGGACCATAGTTAGTAAATGTAATCAACCGAGATCGTATATGGTGAGAACCAGATTTGGATTATTTAGGCGAAATCGTCGTCACCTATTCCTCGCCAATTCCGTTAATTTTCATGGTAATCATTCCGATGAAGACCCAACTGATTGGACTGATATACATGATCATGCATGTCACAAACCAAATATCGTTCAACAAGAACTTCCTCCACCAGATCCAGTACAACCTTTACGTCGCTCAGGTCGCAAAATTATAACGCCTTTGTGATATCGTGATTAAAGAACAATCGACATTGTGTTTGTTTATCTGTTTCTAATACTTGAAAATTATAGTTATTTGGTAAATAACATTTTTATTATGTTTCAGTTATAGGACACTTGAAGATTTAGACACTATAGTAATTATGGTCAGAATTTAAGGTTTTGTTACTATATCCTTTAAGGAGGGAGATGTTGCATAAATGAGTTCAGAAGTAACACTTATATGATAATGACTATTAATACAATATCGAATATTGAAACAGACTATAGTTCTGCCTTACAAAGTATTGCATGTGTTCTTGTACGAAAACGGAGAGCTGTAAGCATGTTAGACCAAGTTGGGTCGCAAGATTGTTTTTACTTAATAAATATATTAAGATAAGCCTACATTGATGAGTCTGTATAATAATATCCACAGCATATTGATAGAACAGTGATCACTTTGAAAAATCTTGTGAACGCTGTAAAGGCTAAAGATCATATCTGATTGACTTTAAATTTATACACATTGTTTAAGGCCACGAGACGAGGAAGCCTATTGATTTTCAGCGATTTCCGATAATTACTACCAGAGTTATGGCCCTTGAACACTTTGAAAATTTTTGTGGATGCTCTAGAGGCTAAAGTTAATATCCGATTAACTTTAAATTTATACACAGTGTTTAAGGTCATGAGACCAAGACACCATTTGATTTTCAGCAATTTCCGATAGTTACTGCCAGGGTTATGGCCCTTGATCACTTTGAAATATCTTGTGGACGCTCTAGAGGCTAAAATTGTAATTAATATCCGATTGACTTAAATTTATACACAGTTTTTAAGGTCATGAAACGAAGAAGCCTATTGATTTTCAACAATTTCTGATAATTACTTGCAGAGTTATGGTCCTTGATCAATTTGAAATATCTTGTGGACAGTAGTGGCTAAAGTTAATATCCGATTGACTTTAAACTTATACACAGAAGCCTATTGATTTTCATTAAGTTCCGATAGTTACTGCCATAGTCATAGCCCTTGATCACTTTGAAATATCTTGTTGATGCTCTAGAGACTAAAGTTAATATCCGATTGACTTTAAATTATGATTTTCAACAATTTCCAATAATTACTGCCAGAATTATGGCCCTTGATCGCGTTGAAATATCTTGTGGACACTCTAGAGGCTAAAATTAATATCTGATTGACTTTAAATTCATTTTCAACAATTTCCGATAATTACTGCCAGAGTTAAGGCCCTTGATCACTTTAAAAAATCTTGTGCGTGTTCTAGAGGCTAACACTCCATTTCATTCATTCATTCACTCAAGAGGCTAAAGTCAATATAAATTGTTTAAGTTCATAAGACAAACAATCCGAACAAATTCTAATTTTTTCTGCTTATTACTTCATGGGTTTTTATACGTCCACATTCATAATGTGAACGTATCATGCCGTCGCCCCTGTCTGTGTGTGTGTGTGTGTGTATGTATGTATGTGTGTGTGTGTGTGTGTGTGTGTGTGTGTGTGTGTGTGTCTGTGGTTCGCCTACAGGGCGCAATTCTTCATGGATTTTCTTCAAACTTGGTATACTTATTCCTTATACCCCAAGGAAGATCCCTATTGTTTTTGGTGCATGCCCGACCCCCCGGGGCAGAGCCACGCCCATTTCTAGTATTTGTTTGTTTGTCGTCTACAGGCCACATTTCTTAACTAATAATCTTGAAACTTTGCATACACATTCTTTGTACCCTAAGGAACATCCCTATCGTTTGGGGTGCATGCCCAACCCCCAGGGGCAGAGCCACGCCCATTTTCTTTTCGTGTGTCTTTGTGTCGCCTACAGGGCGCAATTCTTACTGGATTTTCTTCAAACTTGGTATACTTATTCCTTATACCCCAAGGAAGATCCCTATTGTTTTTGGTGCATGCCCGACCCCCAGGGGCAGAGCCACGCCCATTTCTAGTATTTGTTTGTTTGTCGTCTACAGGCCACATTTCTTAACTTATAATCTTGCATACACATTCTTTGTACCCTAAGGAACATCCCTATCGTTTGGGGTACATGCCCAACCCCCAGGGGCAGAGCCACGCCCATTTCCCATTTTCTTTTCGTGTGTCTTTGTGTCGCCTACAGGGCGCAATTCTTACTGGATTTTCTTCAAACTTGGTATACTTATTCCTTATACCCCAAGGAAGATCCCTATTGTTTTTGGTGCATGCCCGACCCCCAGGGGCAGAGCCACGCCCATTTCTAGTTTTAAAAAGTACCATATCAATCAAAGCAGGAATGTGGACGTATATTGCAGCGGTAGCGATGCTCTTGTTACTTGTAGTTGTAATCAGATTTTTCGTGAGTTGTAAATGTTCTCATTACTGACGAAAGAAAAAATATGTGACAACACTTGTTGACTGCCCGGACGACATAGCTGCTGTGGGCGTATGTTTTGTTGCCTGGCAACCTATCATTAAGTATTTACATCAAATAAATAAATATAGAAAATATAATTTTCCATGTCACACATTATCCATGAAGGTACACAAACTTTATTTTTGGACATTGTTCTAAATTTTTACAATGTATAAATTTCCATTCAAGACAAAACGGGCAACATCGAGGAACCTTTTTACTGTTGTTGTTATTATTGTTTATTACAGATTTAACATCCAATACAATAACTATGATATTATGGACAGGTTGATTTGATTAAATTATTTACACTTTGGGTTGAAAATTGGTAAAAGCCCAAAAATAAAAAAGTCCTTGTACATCAAAAAGTCACCTTAAACACACTTATAAAATCGCTATTGTGTCTTCTTCTCTCTTTGTCATAATAACAAGTTAAAACAGGAGGTCCAGCTGACTGATGTTTGGCGTCATCAGTACGGATAGAAAAAAACACTGTGGGGAAAAGGAATCTGCTTGCTTTATATGAAAAAGAGAAGTGCTCACAATAAAACCACATACATGTAGCTGGACCTGTGGATTATTTACATATTAAAAAATGTCCGTCCAATAAGTTCCAAATAGTTAAAAGTTAGTTAAAAGTTCTTTTATGTGGTTGACAAATTCAGCGTTTGAGGTACATGTATAGACATTCCATTAGGGTTGCGTATGACTCCCCAGATAAAAGTTACCTGAAAAGAAAAAGAAGAGCCAGCAGCAACACATAAAACATTTAAAGAAATAATACATGGCATTAAAGGAGCTAAAATGCTAATATTTGGGACCTAGAAATTGACACAAAAGGGTCGCAACGCATATAATAATGTAATATGAATGTATATAAAATGATGTAAATTCAATCGTTTCCGTGTTTACTCTAATTTCAAATCAGTTATGTTCGGTGAAATATGCCAGAAGTCTAAATCGAATTGCAATCTCTACAACAATAGTATTTATTGCGCATGCTCTCCAGATAAGAATATGGTGTGACCGTTTGACATGACTTGTGGAGTATGTCTATAGCCTCGTTATTCGAGTCCCTTGTTACAAATACATGTAGCGCTGAAACACATCATGGTACAGTACACGATGTTTATTTTGTCTTTAATATTGGATATCAGAAGCCCATCTTTACCCAACATGAATATTGATTTAAATTGACAAATACTGACCTTTAATCGATCATGGTTGATATGGTAGATCATTTCATCCCAAAACAGTTAGCCTATGGCTATGTATCACGGAGTGTTTGAGTGTTTCATCCCAAATTTACATACATACAATTATTACAATAGGTTGTTTTATCCCATACAGTTTTAAGGCCTTATTTCAGTGATTTTATACTTTATGGTTGAATCATTAAGACAAAATGGCCGCCGTTCGTTCTCAAATAGCGTAAGAAAATGGTATATCAAGGTTGTGGACCCTATAGAGGTCACAATTTTTATCCGATTTTGTTGAAACTTGAAATATAAGTCTATAACCCAAAGATCTCGGTTCCTTTCGATATTCGCGCATATCGGACTGTAATTTCCTGAATTATAGCCCCTGATTTACGAAAAATCACGTATTTAGCTTGTGGACCCTATAGAGGTCATAATTTTTATCCGATTTAAAAAAACGTATTATTATATCACCGTTACACCCTAAGGACGACTGAGTTTGAATTTCGTGAAAATCGGCCCAAAATTGACAGACAAAATGGCCGCCGTTCGGTCTGGAATAGCATAAGAATATGTTATATCAAGGTTGTGGACCCTATAGAGGTCACAATTTTTATCCGATTTTGTTGAAACTTGAAATGTAAGTTTATAACCCAAAGATCTTGGTTCCTTGCGATATTCGCACATATCGGACCGTAACTTCCTGAATTATGGCCCCTGATTGTACAAGAAATTGCATTTTTAGCTTGTGGATTCTATAGAGGTCATAATTTTTATCTGATTTAAAAAACTGTATTATTATATCACCGTTACACCCTGAGGACGACTGAGTTCGAATTTCGTGAAAATCGGCCCAAAATTGACAGACAAAATGGCTGCCGTTCGTTCAGTTCCTTTCGATATATGCGCATATCGAATTGTAATTTCCTGAATTATGGCCCTTGATTGTAGGAAAATCACTTTCTTGTTAGCTTGTTCTCTATCCATCTCTCGAAAATGTGGGCGTATCCTGCCTGGCAGCCGCTGGTTACTATATTTTATGAATAGTTGTTTGCCCGTATCTGATTGTAATAGTAACCTTTGTCAATAATATGTATTTTTCAGGAACAAAGCTTACAATCACGTCAGTTATATCACATGACTATATTTACCCAATGTTTTTCACCTTGTGGTAAATATATTGCAGCCGCTAATAATTATGGGCAAATTGCCATATTCAGGTAAAATGAACCTTGTCTATTTTTTACCTGTTAAAAATGAATCAATATTAAAGGTGCTCCTTAAAGATCATCCAACCGTTTTATGCCGTCTCCCCTGTCCAGACGTCCATCCATAATCTGTTTGTGGACACTCTACAGGTCACAATATTTATCCCATTTTGACGAAACTTGTAATATTGGTCTATCTCCCAAAGATCTCAGTTCCGTTCGATATTGGCATGTATCAGACCTTAACTTGGTATAAAAATTGTGTTTTTAGCTTGTGGTCTGGTATATCAAAGTTGTAGACCCTCTAGAGGTCACAATTTTTATCCGATTTTGATGAAACTTGAAATTCATGTTTATAACGCAAAGATTGTACGAAAGATCGCGTTTTTAGCTTGTGGTTCCTGTAGAGATAACAATTTTTGTCCGATTTAAAAAAAACATATGAATATATCACCGTTACACACTAAGATCTTGGTTCCTTTTGATAATTGAGCATATCTGAACGTAACTTCCTGGATTATGGCCCCTGATTGTTGAATGAAGGTTGAATTGGAATTTTGGGAAAATCGAAATGAAACTGCTCGACAAAATGTCTGCTCTTTGTACGCAAATTGTGTAAAAGTATGTAATACAAAGGTTGTGGACCCTCTAGAGGTCACAATTTTTATCCAAATTTGATAAAACTTAAAACATATCTTTATGTCCCAAAGATCTCATGATCAGTCGCTTTTGATATTTGCGCATTTCAGACTATAAGTTTCTCGATTATGACCCGTAATTGTACAAAAAATTGCTTTTCTTTTTAACTTGTTCCCTATCCATCTCTTGGAAAATGTGGGTGTATCTTGCCTGGCAGCCACTGGTTTTAAATAATGCAAGTAATTATGTCAACATATCCTTTCCATAAGTATAACATGATCCCTAATGTCAATGTTACCTGCCACAGGTAAATTTCAACGTTAGCAATTTCCGCCATTCTCTGTAACTTTTCACCAATAAACTAGCCGTGACATAATTTTAGTCCTTCTGCTCATAGAAATATAAACTAGAATATGAGCAGAAGGACTAAACTTATGTCACGCCTTGTTTTGGCTGAAAGTTACGACTACTCACGGAGAACGGTAGAAATCTACCTGTTGAAATTTACATGTGGCAGGTAAATTTGAACATTTAGCAATTTTTGCTGTTCTCCGTGAGAAGTCATAACTTTCCACCAATCAACAAGCTGTGATGTAATTTTAGTCCTTCTGCTCATAGAAATATGAACAAGAATATGAGCAAAAAGGAGTGGCAGCTAACATTGACATTCGGGACCGTGTAATAGTGGTTTTTAGATTTTTTTAAAAAAAGAACTAGTGTTACCATCTTATACACACAAAAAAACCCCCAGGAAATTTAAAACCAAATACTGGTAGTTCTTCTACATGTAAGTGCATGTCAAAACATTACTTGCTGTTTAAGTTTATTACAATGGTACTTACGGTACTATTGATCGTTCTGCAGTAATCAGCCAAAATTTAATTGATGTTTGGATTCCATGTATTTGTAGTTTGGTATCAGCCTTATCACCAGAAGCAAACGAATCTTCCCGTTTACCAATTTATTGCTTTAAAGGTAGGATTAAATGGTTGCTGCATTCATTATCTTATTTTACTAGATTATCTCTGTGTAATCATCCACTGCAGTCCAGAAATGTCAGTATATAGTGCATATTACTTATATTGTACTAGTGACAATTCATGTGGACATTCCTTTTGGTACAACAGATTTGTACCGTACTAAGTTAAGTAAGAAGGCTTAGTTATTCTTTGTCAATTGTAAAACAGCTAAATGTAGATTTGGTATTAATCTGCTTTGAATGGATGCTAACTGCATCTTCCCAATTACAATATTTCTTTCCACCCTTTGTTGAGTGGTTCAATGAAAAAATGGTAAGTTTTGCTGTCAACATTAGTCAAGATTCTCACAGAACCTTTATGGATATTCAATTTTGATTTGGATCTTAGCCAGTCACCGTCAGATTGTTTACGGGAGAGTCTGTAGGAATTGACTTGAATTTTACAACAGTAGCCATATAATATATTGTTATGTTCCAAGAGTTCATATTATTTGCTATTTTTATTTATTTAAAATTTAAAATGAATGATTTTTGTTTCCAGGATGTAAAGAGGGTGCCATTTATTGTTTGACTTCAACAGACACATTTTTAATCAGTGCTGGTGAAGGTGATATATGTGCATGGAAATGGTCAGATATCCACAACAAGGCTCCTAAAATCATCTGGTCTCTTTCCTTACCTAAAAAGGGTGTTTTTACTAACCCTGAGGTTAATTCAATGGTTGTAGATAAGCAGGCAAGTATTAAAACATTCACTTGTATCTTATCTTATTCTTGAAAGAAAGAGTAAAGTAAATTAAACATTACAGATTAGAAATACATGTACTGGTACATGTGACCATACATTTGAGTGTCCATCATGTTTGTACCTGATGATTACATATCCAATCAATTAAGGGTTTAAATTTCTTTGCTATGTTACTCAAATATCCTGATTTTAATGTTAATATATGTGATTGTGAATTTAAATGGGAAATCCACAGTGAAATGACATTTATTTGTTGTAGGAACAGGCAACACGTTTATTAGCAGGAGGTGGAGATAATGATATCCATATTTGGAATATGGAAAATGGTCAATTGGAGGTTAGTGAGTTTATTAGAAGTCTTTAGTATTAATCTTTAATCATCCTTTAGTAATTTAGCAAATCGTTTTGACAAGTTTTCTCCAAATTACACTAATATGAAATTTAAGCACATTTTATAAATCTCGTCCATTTCGTGGTCTAAGGGGAGATAATATTTAATTAGACAAGTTACCTCCCTTGCATATTTTTTTTGTCCTTTCATTAAACCAACTCACTTGACTCAATGGTGGGCTTTATAAACTGGTACTGTAGATTGTTTTACTATGTTATAAATCAGACAAACCATTGATTTTGGGAAGATATGATTTTAGAATTATTAATATTTTTTTAATTGTATCAACTCTTTCTTTGTATTTTGAACAGGTAAAGGTTGTCCTAATGTAACGCCTACATTTGACAATGAAATGATTTGTCTATAGATGTAAACTAAATCAGAAGTAACTTCTCAAATTGTTACAGATATAAGTTATATTTCAAAGACTATTTTTCTTTGAACTAAAACATAAATCTGCTAATGACTAGAAACAATGTTTGAAAGGATCTTTAATAGTATCTTTGAGATATGTTCTTATAGGCATAATCCTATCCACAAAAGTAATTTTTTATCTATTAGTATGATACTCTTAATGACCAGGAGAAATAGTAAACCAACAATATATCCGATGAAGTATTTCTGAATTAATAAAAATGAAAGGGATTGTGGAATATGCATTTCATTTCTAAGTGTTGACCCCTGTTTTTGTCTTTGCGATCCCACCCTGTGCTGTTTATTATATGGTAATGATAGTAATCATCCATTCATTGTCCTGGATATATATTACATGTTAAAGGACAATATTTGTGTCAGTCATTATCACATATGAGATTGAGCTGGTTCAACACATTCCAAATATAATTTTAACACAGAGATCATTACTATGATAGATGCGTAATGAAGATTTAAAAAAACGGAAGTGACAAAAGCAAAATGAAAACACAAGTTATACTTCTTAACTGACTGAAGTAACGAGTGATAACAGATACACAGGCAAATTTCTGCTCACTAATAATTCCTTTGAAGATCAAAATTTGTTATATGGACTGTGGGAGGATATCTGACAATTCATAAAAGATAATAATTGACTGTCACTAGATAGAGAAAACGAGAAAAAAAAAAAAAGTCAGTGCATTAATATGTTTTTATTGTCCCCCGTCTTTCGAAGAAAGCAGGGAACTATTAAAATGGGTTCGTCCGTATATCTGTCCGTCCGTTCGTCAGTCTGTCCGTCACACTTTTTGGGACACAATAACTTTCTTTCTAATTGAGCTACAATGTTCAAACTTGGTGTAGGTGTTTATTAGGTCAATGCCTTGATGGAGTTCGAAGATGAGCATTGTCGGCTTAGGGTAAGCAGAGATAAGCAATTTGATTGGTTGATGCTTTTGGACACGATAACTTTAGTTCTAATTAAGTGAAAGTGATGAAACTTGGTGTATAGTTTCATTACATCAGTACCTTGACTAAGTTTGATAATGAGCATTTTCTGCTCAGGGTAAGCAGAGTGATAAGCAATTTGATTGGTCGAGACTTTGGAACACAATAACTCTCATTCTAATTGAGTTACAATGTTCACACTCGGCATAGGTGTTTATTAGGTGAATGCCTTGATGGAGTTCGGAGATGAGAATTTTCAGCTTAGGGTAAGCAGAGATAAGCAATCTGATTGGTTGATGCTTTGAGGCACAATAACTTTGGTTATAATGAAGTGAGAGAGATAGAACTCCGAAAATAGATATCATTATATCATTACCTTGACTAATTTCGATGGTGAGAATTTTCTGCTTAGGCTAATGAGCGATAAGCAATTTGATTGGTCAAGACATTGGAACATAAGCAGAGCTAATCAATTTCATTGGTCAATGCCTTGGGACAAGATAATCTTGATTCTATCTGATAGAGAGTGATGAAACTTAGTGTATAGTTTGATTGCTTGATACTTTTGAAAAAAAAAATAAATGTGCAATTAATTAATGCGTGTCATCTATTTATTTTTGGATTTTGACGGGGAACATCTGCCTCCCTGTTGGCTTGTTAAGTATAGAATGAATTAAAACAAGGGAATGTACAGACTATTTCTATTTTTCTCGTTTTCTCTTATCTAGTGACATTCAATTACTTTATTGATTTGTCAGATATCCTCTCACAGTCTCACATAACAACTTTTAGTCTTTGACGAAATTATTAGTGAGCAGAAATTTGCCCGTGTATCTGTTATCACTCGTCACTTCAGTCAGCTATATAGAAGGATAACTCATGTTTTCCTTTTGCTTTTGTCACTTCTGATTTTTGAAATCTTCATTACACATTTATCGTAGCAATGATCTCTGTGTTAAAATAATATTTGGAATGTGTTTAACCAGTTCTATCACATATGAGATAATGACTGACACCAATATTGACTTTTAATAATTTGTAGATGATATGAACGTCAATGGAAATATCTCGTAAGATAATGTTTTTGTCGACAACAAATTTCTCATGGTAGTGTGAATATATTTTCTAATGAATTGTTAATTATATGTTGAAGATTTAAAAAAATAGATATTATATTTCTGAGATTGATATTGATTGTTCTGGCAAAAGCCCTTTTCCAAAATGCAATAAAACACCTTTCCAAGTTTGGTTTGCATACTGGGAGGGTTTTTTTTCTGAAAATTTTAAGGATCAAAAATATGAAATTATATATCAATGATTTTAAAGCAAAACTTCATTTGTTCTTTTACAAATAAATTTTAATATAGTAATGTTCAGATGGGGTTTTATGCATTTAGAAAAAGTATCCTTCATCAAGCATACAGTCCCTCTGTTGCACATGATTACAAATTCTGTTAGTAGTATCTGTTACAAAAATTTTAAAATGGGATACACTAAATATGTCAATCTTGATAGATTCAAATAATGAATATTTATTTTAGAATTCATTACAAGGTCACGAAGATTATGTACATAGTATTTGTTTAAAGAATAATGGTAGAGAATGTGTTTCTGCGTCCGAAGATGGAACAGTCAGAATCTGGGGTATGTTCACTTTATGTTGCTGGATTTGTAAATCAGAACTTTAGCTCAATCATTGCTGATATATAAATCTTTTAGCAGTCTATAAATATGGTTCTTTTATTATTAGAAAGATATGAATAAAACATTTATAAATTATCTGGATAATCAAAGCAGAATAAATAGATAATGTAAATCCTTTCTCTTTTGTCTACAGATTTTGTTATGCAATACACCAGAGCACAAATGATATAAAAGCCATTGAACTTAATAATTTATAGCTGATGTATAGATTATACAGAAAACAAAGCAATTATCTTTTGTCAGTTTTGTTTGAATTATGAAAAAGAAAGTGTTAAACAGGAATTTAATCCTATGTTTAAAATATATTTATACATCATGCACAAACAATGTTAAGAATGTCTAATTTTGTCTAATATATGATTATTTCACATTGTAGATGCAAGAAGTTCTTCAGAAGCGGTTCATATATTAGAACCACATAAAACACCTGTGAGTTATAACATTCTGGAATATATTAGGGAATATATTTCTTGATTAGCCCATATATACTATTCAAAAAAAGTAGGGGATATTTGACTTTGGGGGCATAATACTAAAATATGCAAATGACTACGAAAAAAGTCACTATAGAACCTAACAGAAGAAACATTTCCAGTTACATGTGACGCCCAAACGCACCAATAGCTACCGCATGGAATGCAGGTGATGCTTGGGATCATCATGGGGGTCCAACCCAAGATTTGCACGACTCTGACTTTGAATGTTACAGTCATTGTGGCATTGAATTCCAGGGTGGAAACATCAGTTTAATTGTTTTAGTGACCAGAAAACAAATTTTGATATGCGTCGGCTTACCCAAAATGAAAGGTTACGTGCCCTTGGCATGCTACAGATCGGCACAACACAGGCGGTTGTGGCGCGGACGATGAATGTTTCTCAGTCTGTCATAAGCAGGCTATGGTCCAGATACCGTGATACACAATCTGTACAGGACAGACCACGCTCAGGTCGACCAAGGGCGACAACTCAAGCCCAGGATTGATTTATCCATACCTTGGCCTTGAGAAATCGTGTCATCACAGCAAATCAGATCAGCGCTCGTCTTCAAACAGACACTGGTGTGAGAGTGAGTGGCCAGACGATTCGGAATCGACTGCATAGGGGTCACCTTCGCGCCCGACGTCCTCGCGTGATCCCTTGTTTGAGAGATCATCACATTCAGGCAAGACGTCGTTGGTGTAGGGATCGTCAACACTGGGATAATCGACGCTGGAGCAATGTGATGTTTTCAGATGAGTCAAGGTTCACTGTTGATTTTTTGGACAGACGTAGGAGGGTGTGGCGTCGTCGAAACGAGCGCTTCCAAGACGTTAACGTCATCAGACATGATCGATTTGGGGGTGGTTCTGTTATGGTGTGGGGAGGCATCACTGTTGCTGGAAGAACGGCTTTACATGTTGTTGCACGGCGTGTTACAGGCCAGTACTACCGGGACAACATCTTGGCAGTCCATGTTGTGCCGTTCGCACGACGTCATGGCCGCCGTTTCATCTTCCAGGATGACAACGCAAGATGTCACAGGGCCAGGATCGTTACAGGTTACCTCCAACAACAGAACATCACCACATTACCTTGGCCAGCACTGAGTCCCGACCTCTCCCCCATCGAGCATGTCTGGGACATGCTTGGACAGAGGTTACGTCAACGTCAACAACGTCCTGCCAATGTCCAAGAACTTGCTGCTGCGTTGCAACAGGAATGGGACAATCTGGACCAAAATGACCTTAGACGTCTCATTAGGAGTATGCCACGTCGGATCAATGCTTGTTTGGCAAACAGAGGAGGATTTACCCGTTACTAACTTGGTTGTGATGCTGTGGTAACTTTGCTGTTTGACCCCGGGTATCATTTTACCCTTATAATGGTCAGTCTGTGCCTTACTTAGTCTAACGATCATTTGGAATAAATCGATGAATGTGAACTTCATTTCATTTTGTCATTTGTTTCTTCGTCAGTTTCATTAGGTGACTTTAATAACACTTAAAAATCAAATATCCCCTACTTTTTTTGAATAGTATATCTCTAATTTGGAAATGCAGCTAATAGATGTTATGATAAGAATTGCATAATTTGTACCAAAGGACTGCATTGAATATTTTTTAGCATCAAGGCTAGTTTTAGCATAAAAAATGATGGGTATAAAATTATAGTTTAGACGACCAAGAACAATGAAGGATGCCATGTTTGTTGAAAATGTGAACACACTATGTTTAAAGACAATTTATTTTGCTGACCCAAAATTTTTAATATTTTTTATGATATATAGATGTGTGGAAGACCAGAAATGGGGAAATGGGTTGGTTGTGTTGCAATGGATCACGGTGATGATTGGCTGGTAAGATCAGATTTCTCATCTTTTAATGGTATTAATTTGCAGTTTGTTCATTTACTTGATTGATCTAGCCAATATTTAGATAAAAATACCGATATGAAGCATTTAATAAATAATAAATGAATCTGCAAGATGTAATCAACTGACATATTTATTTATATGCCCACAATCCATATGGACTGTTTATTGACATCACCCCTTAAACACTCTAGATTTGTTCAAGACTTGCTTGAAATGTTCAACGGGTCTTAAAGATGCATTATGAAAGATTTAGATAAAGAGCTGGCCATTCTTGCTATATGGTTCCAAAATAGATAATTTAGAATTAATATGTTGAAAATTTCATTCAAATTAGTTTATCCTGAGCTACATTATCACTGTTTGAAGTTTTGACACAGATTGTTTATTATCAGGGCAACAGTACTTGTTAATCAACTCTTAGTCTCACTTTTCTATTTTTAAATTAAATGCCGATTGTACTTAAATCTGTTTACATCTGTGCCATCCAATGGTCTAGACAGTTGATTATAGGCTTGTCATGTGAATAAGTGTTTAAATAATAAATTATATAACATTTGAAGCCAAAATAAATTATATAACATTTGAAGCCAAAAAAAACCCCTGTAATAGGCAGATTTAGCATCCTCCTTACATAATGCATCTTTAAGGAAGACCCCTATCAAGTTCAGAATCATATACAACAATATTTCATATAGTCACTGACTCACTGCTCCTGTCACTGAAACTTTGAAAATGTTGTACAAGTCAGATTCTTAGATTCTTACTTCACATAGCATTATTTAGCTAGTCCTAGGGAGTAAGCCCATCAAAATTCAAAGTAATACAATGGTTTTTGAGAGATACCGGCTTGTTACCCAGAAAACATTTTTTGTTTTAAAGTTTGTCAGCTGATCATAATGAGCAACCCTATTTTTGAAGAATGGCTTTTGTTTTCCTACTTTAATATGTGGTCAAATATTTCCTTTGACTTTGTCCATTGTTCTTAATTTCTTGTGAACACTCATAGAAATTATGCTTGTAATCGCATCTTTTTTTGTAAATTTATATATGATACTTGCTTATTGAATTTCAAAAATTTTGATTACCCTTGTTCTGTTTGTAAAATCCTGTGAATTTGATTGTTTAAAAATTCCTTCTGGAAATTTGTCAGCATTGTTCAGATTTGTAAGACAAAGTAGTCTATCTAATTTGAACAATTTTCTTTTCATTAAATCTTTTGATTTTGAGTTATTGTTCGATCTGAAGATATGCTTGAAATTAATATCCATTGTTTAGATTGAGATAAAGAACACATTCCGGAAATTACTTACTTATCAATTTTTTACTCTTGATTATGATGTACAGTGATTTTATCAGAATAAAAATTTTTTTTTTTTTTTTTTTTTACTTAAAGTAGCTAAGTCCGTAACTCAATATCTTCCTAAATCTTCGACATTGAAAACACAATTTTTTTTGCAATTTAAATCAGCATTGGTGTTGTGGTCTTACCTGGAAAAGATGGGCTTCTGATATCCAGTATTTAAGACAAAACAAACATTTTACCATTGGTACACGAATCATGTACCATAATGCGTTTCAGCGCCATTTGTAACAAGGTGCTCAAAGAATGAGGCTAGACATATTCCACAAGTCCTGTCAAACGGTGATGCAATATTCTTATTTGGAGAGCATGCGCAATATATACTATTGGTGTTCACTGGAATAACCAGATGCTAAAAACTGTCTTTCGGTTGAGACTTCTGGCAATTCACAGTAAAACGGAAACGATTGAATGTAAAACAGTTTATATAAATTCATATTACATTATTATATGTGTTGCGAGCCATTTGTGCCAATTTCTAGGCCCAAAATATTAGCGATTTAGCTCCTTTAAATAATCACAATCTGACAACCTTCTTTACTGCTCATGTGACTAAACTGCTGTACACAGATGTGTTTAGTTGTCTGTCAACCAATCTTTCTTTATTTTATTAAAGATCTGTGGTGGAGGTCCTAAACTGTCAACATGGCATCTAAGATCCCTGACACCAACAGCAACTTTTGATACTCCAGGATCTTGTCAAAATTTTGTTATGTATCACGAAGAAAATGTAAGTAGATTTTTGTTGCTATAACTTTTACATCTGTATTTTGTGATATCTGATGCTCAAGACATTTTTTTCTATTAAATGAGAAAAAGATTTCTGTCTTAGTGAAGTATACCACAATGTACATTATATACTATCGACTACAGAAATAAATGATAATCGGTAACTTTATACATGTCCCATCTACATGATGATTAAAATTTGTAAAAAATGTACAACTTGCTTACAGAATTTAATGTTAGACAGCCAGGGTCGAGTTATCGATTTTAATCATTTTAGAAAAAAATGTGTTTTGATAAGACTACATTTAATGTGTAGGGCCTATCAACTAAAATCCTATATTTGCCGTTTAGTCTGGAATATTTTACCTTTGATTTGCATTATGTTAATTGGTTTTAATGTATATTATCAGGTTATATCCGGTGGAATGAAACCATGTGTAAATCATTGGTATGTAAATGGTGATCTGAAATCACAAGTACCTACAACATCTTCCAGTATATATAATATAGCTGTTAACACTGTTTTAGATCAACTAAGGGTAGGTCAATGCCATATCTTCTTGAAGTTTTTCTGTTATGAGCAACACAGGACAACAATCCAAACTTTAGCTGCCGTAGTGAATTAGTTGTCCAGAAATAAGGAACAAAAAAAAACTAAGCCCTGTGTGCATGTAAAAGAACCCTGACAGCTGGAATTCGATGAACAGTAGGAGGAAACACTGCTATCCAGAGAAAATCTCACTTTCATTCCCTCTTGATTAGCAGGACGGATGGCCTGACAAAGACAGCTGTCTAGTCGTTGGGATGGGACGAAAAACCGAGGTCCCGTGTACACATTGGCGTGCACGTAAAAGATCCCTTGGCAGTTGGAATTTGATGTAAGAGTAGGCTGTAGCGCCGCTGCCCGGGCAAAATTTCCCTCATAGCACACTGTATGGCGTATGCCCGTCTTCATTAGCCCAGGTTAGGAGCAGAACAGTAGGATGTTAAACCCCATTTCATTTCATTTCATTTCCGTCTTGATTAGCCCAGTTAGTGCAGAAAATATAAGCAGAAAAATATATCACATATGGTTATATGTAACTCGGATAATTGTATCACATAAGCTTATATTATGTAACTCTGAAGTGATATCTCTTTTCTACAAATGTTTGGTGGTTTGGCAGACTATGATTTTAATAAATTTGTTTGGTTTTTGCAGGTATTAAGTGTGGTTGGTAATAGTTGTAAAATAGATGTATGTACAAACTTTGGTTATAAAGCGTTCTCACTCAAGTTTGTACCATCTTAAAGAACTCTTGTTCAGGCTTTTATGCTATCATAAAAAACACTTGGTCTGGATTATATCATTGTAAAGCCTCATCATCATCAGTTCAGATCAGTTACAGTGAAGCATCATTATATGATAAAATATATAAATCTACCTTGCTTCTTGAATTGTGCAAGACTTCTCAAGTGTAATAGCATTGTCTGCCAGCTTGTCTCACCATACTAAGACCCAGTGATATGATGATTTATTTACATTCGAAAATCCTCTTACAATGGTCCAAACTGTGAACTGAAATTTCATGAATTAAAATTTCAGTTGTTTAATATTTGTTGTATCTCTTTAACTCTTAAGACCTTATTGTCATATTATGTCATAAAGTCTTGACACATAATTTTGTATCCTATAAGGTATGTTACTCTGCAATATCATGACTATAGAAGCAGATATTTAAATAACTAAGGTACTGCTACATCTGTCTAATCAGTGTCTGTTATCCCTACTGTAGAAGCTGATGTTAAATAACCATGGTACTACTATAACTTTATATCATGTTGTATTATAAAGACTTCTAACATCTTTTATACCATATCTTACTCAAGTTTAATCAATTTTGAAGATCTCTGTGATCTATGATTTTGCCATTTGTAATGTACCATATGCCTAAAGGAGCTAAATTGCTAATATTTGGGAACTAGAAATTGAAACAAATGTAATGTAATATGAATATATATAAACTGATTTACATTCAATTGTTTCTGTTTTTACTGTAATTTCTAATCAATTATGCCTGGCGAATTACGCCAGAAGTCTCAGTCGAATGGCAATCTCTAGCGTCTACACTGATAGTATTTATTGGGCATGCTCTCCAGATAAGAATATGGCGTTGGCATTTGACATGGCTTGTGGAATATGTCTAGCTTCGTTCTTCAAGTTCCTTGTTACAAATGGCGCTGAAACGCATTACGGTACACGATTCGTGTACCAATGGTAAAATGTTTATTCTCTCTTAAATATTGGATATCAGAAGCCCATCTTTTCCCGGTAAGATTACAACATCAACGTTGATTTAAATTGACAAATAATTTTTGGGTTTTCAATGTCGAAGACTTTAAATGATATGGGGTTAGAGACCTAGCTACTTTAAATAAGTTGTATGACTTGTATCTTAGAGAAAGGGTTACTTATTGCTTTGAACATAACCTTTAGTGGTGTGGATAAAGCACATTATAAATAATACACAGTACATTATTTTGATTACATGATTTGTGTTGTAGTAATAGTGTATATAATTTATAGTATATGATTACATAATCTGTAATTCATGATTAATAACATTGTACTTGTTAAATTTGAAATTCATAACTAGTAATCCATGATTTCATTGTTTGTAGACCATAATTACAGAATTTGTAACCAGATCCAATGTTTTTAATTGTTCTGTTTAAGTTGTTCTTAAAATCCCTGAAAATGAATGATTTACTGTTATAAATCTAAAATACATTGAAGTTATAAAAAACATTTTATATCTGTGGATGTTTACTAAGCATTTGTAATTTAGGTTGTAGTTATTTTTATGTTATACATATGTCAAATGTGTAATTGCTTTGTTTGAAACGATTGTGTATTTTATAACTGTTATTCTTTAATGAATAGAATACACTATTTGGTCTTTATTAGAACAATGTAATTGTTTATTACTTACTCCTCATTTCAATACTGTGAAACAAGAAATTAATGCTGTTCTGGCTTCTTGAAAGTTAAACAAAGTTGACACCAATTATCAGAAAATTACATGTTTTGTAATGTTATCAATGACATTGATTAGCCTAGCAGGTAATTATAACCATTGATTTGTTAATCGTTTGAAGTGTATTAGTCTAACAGTAGTGCTGATTTCTAGGGTAGCTACTGTGTTCTTTATAATTTATATTGTTTTATTATAGAACATAAATGCCTCTAGAAATTAATTTGACTGACAATAGATCGCATTAAAGTATTCATTTAACACATCCCTTTCTTGCTTGCATTAGTGTCTTAGAATGCATGACAACTTGGGACCAAAGACCACTCAGACCAAGATGTGTCGGACCAGTTGATAGACCACTTGGCCCAAGACCAATGCTTTTGAAATATTAAAGTGTTGTTTTAATAAATTGAAAATTGTGTTTGTTTTAATACATTTGTTTTCTTCGTAGCCTACTTACCCGTGTTATTATCTCATCATGAAGCACATGAAAAAACTTAGTTAACAAAACATCGACATCTGAGTAGTTATTCATTTGTATACTTGTACTTCTGAAAAAACCTTTTTTTGTGCATACTATAATATATATATTTATCAATTTGTACTGCCTTCTATTGCAAGCCTGTCGTGGAATGCATGTCAAAGTTCAGATTACGTTTTATCATTAAAATTGGTAGTGACTTTAAATAACCATGCATATCGTGTAAATATTTTTTTCAAATTAAAATTTATCAGCATATTATTCCCTTTTTAATATCTTACTTTTACAGGAAACAATGATTATCAAAGAACAGTAAATGTTTTATCATTTGGTAGAGCCTTTTAATACCACGTGTTTCATGTTAAATTTTTTCTTATGTATTCCTTATAAGTGTTTTTAATTTGTTTTAAGCTGCCCTATTTCAAATATATTGATCGGCTATATTTTTATATCAAATATGAAAAAATATTTATCCATAAAATATAATAAAGATAATAATTGTTAACCAAAATATTGGTCCGACTGGGCTTATATGTTTATATGTGATTTAGTAATAATTAAATAAATAACAGTATGTTGAGTAGTCTTTTATTTTAATTTAGTGCGAGTGGTCTTCTGTCTCAGAGCGTGTCTTGGTTCGAGTGATCTTCTGTATTGGTTCGACTGGTTTTGGTCGGAGTGGTCTTTGGTCGGAGTTGTCTGATTACCGTTTCTTGTTTTGCAATATATAGATCTTGTTAGGTGGTAATGTAGACAGTTATTATGTTTTGCTTCGAATTATATGTAGATCATCCTAGTCAAATGTCTCTTTCTACACAGAGTATATTACATTTAATTTTGTACTTTACAAAACTGAGATCTATAAAATGAATTATATCTAACATTTAATGTTACATGTACATAACACTACAAATAATAACAATAATAAAAAATGTTCAATAAGAAAGGAGTTTATTGTAATCATTTTCTCATAAATTTTTCCCCTTTATAAGAAATCGCAACTAACTGATTTGTCATGGGAATTAGAGCCTATTGATCATGTCAATAAATAGTAGTTGTGATGCACGTAGATATTATGTTATAAATTCAAAAGTTATTTGTTAATGCTAATTCTTCCCAATGTTTCTGCACTGTTGGAAATTACCACCATTAATTTCTAAATAATCTTCCCTGAGGTTCATTATTTTCATATCAACAATCCCCAGATGAATTAATTTTTTCCAGAAGTCAAAGAAATTAATGATATCATTTAAAGGATAAGATGTTAATGGGAAGAGGATTAGCTATGAAGCCATATGACTGCACATTAGTATGAAATATTGGATCCGCCCATTGGCATTGGAATTAATCATAATGAGTTACCTCCCTTGACATATTTACCTTCCCAGAATGCCTGTTGCCACCACCGCCATTACGCAGTTGATGAAGGTGCGTAACGACGCTAGACTTTAACAAAGGTGGTTTATGTGACAAAGGAGTTGAATTTCTGTATATTACTTGGTGATTATAAACACAGGATATTATATATTCATGACAGTTTAGCAGAATTAATTTTGAATCGATTTGTGCCTTTTAAATTATATCACGAAATGAGCTCAGATGTCCGAACAGCTTCCGCTGGCGGAAAGAAAAAACAAGGAGGGTTCTTATCTCGGCAGGCAAAAGCCAAACAACTAGACCCGAAAGAAGTTGTTTATGAGGCTGATTTATTACGAAAGGACCATGTCTCACCAGATGATGTTCTCAGACTTAACAAGGTGACAGAAAGTAAGTACATCAAACAAATAGAAAAGGAAACGTGTCTGTCGCCTGAACTGAAGTCAGTGAAGACGAAGTGAAGATCTAAATTATTATTACCGGTAGGCCTAGCCTAATTAAATTACAAAGAAAAATACGAATTATGATATGTCACTGGCTTATTTTGATGTGTCATTAGACTTTAATTGATTCATGATGTAAGCTTGCAATAAGGTACATGTATATAATAGCAGAGGTTTTACAGACCACTGGGATCCAAAGCAGACCACTCGGACCAAACCAAAAGATCAATTGGACGAATTAATTTATTAATATTGTAAGACCACTCAGACCAATATTTATCTTTGCTAGGCTACTCGGACCAACCCAAAAGACCACTCGGACCAATTAAATTACATTACCGGGTAAATTATTCATTTTAAATATAAAATACTGGTACAGACGATTACATGTCATTTGGGATCACTCACGTCATTTGGGACTCAAAAAAATATGACCGCGGCATTTGGGACTCATGTATACGACATTTGGAACTTTGGTATACAATGTTTGGGACTTTGGTATATGTTTTTGTTGAGTCCCAAATGACGCCAATTAAGTCCCAAACGTCGTTTATGTTGAGTCCCAAATGACGTGATACCGTACAGACAATGCGGTGTAAAACGAATATATGTATACATGTTGGGCACTAAGACATCGATTGGGCATAGTGTCAGCCTAGTTTCGTTGAATACATATCATTTCTGTCTCGCGTCATTTTGGACTTACGACATTCCGGACTCAAAAAAATATGGCCTCGACATTTCGGACTCGGACAGGTGACATTTCGGACTTGGGAATAAGGAAAGGAAGGAAAGGTTGAACACAACTGTCAAATCAGATAGCAGTACCAATCGATAAATTAGTGCGTACAAAGAAAACTCTTTTTGGAAAATATTAGAAATGGCAACGATCAAAGTGGGATAATTAAAGCTGATGAACCGATAATCCCTATGTTTTTATAGTATGTGCAATGTGCAAAGAAACCTTACTTACAGTTCTTTAGTGGACAAGGAAAAATGTGAGTTGTCAATCGGCGATAATGGCGGCCGTGTGTTGGTTCAGTTATTCCGACTCGCGTAAAAGGCATTTAGGCTTTCAGAATATAAAAAATTAGTAAGTATTACTAAATATACACAAATTTTCAACAATATTTTATTGTCAAGTTCAATACTCACCGATGAAACAAAACAAAATAGAACAAGCAGTGTAAAATCAGTGTTATCTTTTTATTAGCGGTCTCAAGAATCGCTTATCAATTAAACAAAATAAAACCAAGTATGAACAATCCAAACCATAAGACAGAATTCAAAGTCCTAAAAAACGTTATACATGTAGGCAAAATAGTGTATTCAAGCAAAATAGTGTAATCAGCAAATGGACTGCTCCCCAACTATTGGACTCGCATAAAACGAAAAAAAAAAAGAAAAAAAAAAGCTGTTACAAATAAGCTTATATCACACAAATTTTCAACAGTCTTTAAATTATTCATCTGAGTCCGAAACGTCGCCATGACGGAGTCCGAAAAGTCGTCAAGTAAGTCCGAACCGTCCTCAAATTGAATCCGAAAGGTTGTCTGTGTTGAGTCTGAAATGACACGGGACCGAAATGGCGTGCTACCGTTTCGTTGACATAACAACCAGTAAGCTCCCACCAACCTTGTAAACAATTTGATTGCTTGAATGTAATTAATGTTAATAACCAATTGACCAGCAACTTAAGAAATCCCATTCTGGATATCAAGCACTAAGACATCGATTGGGCATAGTGTTAGCCTAGTTTTGTCGACATAACCATCAGTTAGCTCTAAAACTTCAAACTTGTAAACAATTTGATTGCTAGAATGTAGAACTAGAAGTAATTAATCTTAATAAGTGTCATCAATACTTGTCATTTTAGTTCTTATTTGTTAGAAAGGTTATTGCAAGACAATTCATGGTGTTGCTAGTATACAAATCCTACGAAGACTTGACAATGTCCGTGAATAACTAAAATCTGATCACTTTATTTTGGTCTGTCATTTCCTTTCAATTCAGCCTTCCTAAGCATTCAACTTATTTTCAATCTAGGTCTTAAATGGGTAACAGAAGACTACCATAATAAAGACTGTTCAATAATTTTATTACATGTATACTGTATGTGTAGACGTTAATTTAGAAGTTTAAAAACCAAAGTATTCAGATTATATTTTGGCCTCAAGTCAATGTTTGCAAAATTCCATTAAATCCAGGGGGTTGGATGGCTGAATGGTTAGCATGTGCGCACTGTATCATAAGGTCTGTCATTGCGTCAACTGGCATGGGGGGGGGGGGGTCACAGTGGGTAAGATGCTGGCTCGCTAGCCTGTAGGTTGGGTGTTCGATTCCTGCATTGACCGCAAAAGTTCATCCTGATTTTTCGGTGTGGTTTCCCCTTGTCAGTTATGCAGGACGGTGGGTCTGACAAGAACAGCTATCTAGTCGTTCAGGTGGGACGAAAAACCGAGAACCCGTGTACACATTGGCGGTGGCGCGCACGTAAAAGATCCCTTGACTGTTGTAATTCGATATATTAGCCTGTATTGCCGCTGTCTGGGCGAAATTTCCCTTATCGCACACTATGGCATATTCCTGTCTTCATTAGCCCAGTTCGGAGCAGAACAGTAAAGACCCCTATGCGCAAGCGAATTATTGAAATAAAATTGAACCATATGTTACTGTTAGTCCCAAAATAACCTAGTTTGTGTCTAGTAGACGTTAAACCCTGTTTCTCTCCCTCTCCCTCTCCATTAAATCCAAACACTACATATACATGTATGTAGGCCTACAGATGTATCGCCATAACCTCCATGTACATGTATGTGTGCAGGGCTGTCGGTAATTTTTCACAGTTGATTAGCAGCACTGCTAATCAAAAAGTCCAATTTTGCCAAATTTGATTAGCAAATTTAAAAATTAATTAGCAGTTTTTCAGTTTCAACATAAAACACCTAAATAACAAGATATTACTTTAGCTCATAACAAATATGATTAGATTCCATTCTTACTATTCTTAGATTTTTTTAGCACTGCCACAAATAATGTACTTGTGACAGTTGAGAATGTGATGTAGACATTTAGTTAGGTCTTATGTCTGAAGCCAATTCTTAACAGTGACTTCCGAAGCCGCAATCATTTTAATTGTTATTGTCCCCCGCCTTTCGAAGAAAGCAGGGGACTATTAAAATGGGTTCGTCCGTCTGTCTGTCTGTCTGTCTGTCCGTCCGTCTGTCCTTCTGTCTGTCCGTCACACTTTTTGGGACACAATAACTCTCTTCCTAATTGAGCTAGAATGTTCAAACTTGGTGTATGTGTTTATTAGGTCAATGCCTTGATGGAGTTCGAAGATGAGCATTTTCCGCTTAGGGTAAGCAGAGATAAGCAATTTGATTGGTTGATGCTTTGGGACACGATAACTCTCTTCCTAATTGGGCTAGAATATTCAAACTTGGTGTATGTGTTGATTAGGTCAATGCCTTGATGGAGTTCGAAGATGAGCATTTTCCGCTTAGGGTAAGCAGAGATAAGCAATTTGATTGGTTGATGCTTTGGGACACGATAACTTTTAATTGAGCTAGAATGTTCAAACTTGGTGTATGTGTTTATTAGGTCAATGCCTTGATGGAGTTCGAAGATGAGCATTTTCCGCTTAGGGTAAGCAGAGATAAGCAATTTGATTGGTTGATACTTTGGGGCACGATAACTCTCTTCCTAATTGAGCTAGAATGTTCAAACTTGGTGTATGTGTTGAGTAGGTCAATGCCTTGATGGAGTTCGAAGATGAGCATTTTCCGCTTAGGGTAAGCAGAGATAAGCAATTTGATTGGTTGATGCTTTGGGACACGATAACTTTAGTTCTAATTAAGTGAGATTGATGAAACTTGGTGTATAGATTTATTATATGAACACCTTAACTAAGTTCGATAATGAACATTTTTTGCTGAGGGTAAGCAGAGTGATAAGCAATTTGATTGGTAGAAACTTTGGAACACAATAACTCTCCTTCTAATTGAGGTAGAATGTTCAAACTTGGCATAGGTGTCTATTAGGTGAATGTTTAAACTTGATGTATATGTAGATGTTCATTAGGTGAATGTCTTGACTGAGTTCAATAATTAACATTTCGAGCTGAAGCTAAGCAGAGCTAATCGATTTCATTTGTCGATGGTTTGGGACAAGATAATCTTGATTCTATCTGATAGAGAGTGATGAAACTTAGTGAAAAAAATAAATGTGCGATTAATTAATATGTGTCATCTATTTATTTTGCAATTTCGGCGGGGGACATCAGCCTCACTGTTGGCTTGTTTTTTGTTACGTTAGAAATCTTCGTTAGAAAACAATTTCGTCTGCTTTTTATCGTGTATTGCTATTTTTGTTAAATCGGGCGCACTTCGATTAACTAGACACACACGATATTTTACGGGAATTTTTACTTTGATTTATCATTTTACAATACGTTAACATATATTTATTTTTTTATATGATATAATTACTTGATGTCTCGCTACGTGAGTGGTACTACTTGATTCCCTATTTCCGGTTTAATAGTCCCTATTCATAGAGTTATGTCCCTGTATTATATAGTACCGTATAATGAATTGTGTCTGGGTAGTTCGAGTAGAAAATGTCACTCAGAGAATTTAGTTTTGTTTATAAAATTTTATTCAATATTTTATACACGTTGAAAGTGTTCAGAAAGCCTTCTAGTCTTCAAATGTGGATTATCCTTGTGTTAATATCCAAAATGACAGGCATATTAATGATTCGCAGTTCCTTTAGATTTTAATTTTTGATTAGCAACGGACAAAATATGTATCGCAAATTGCGCTGCGATACTGGTTGTCGGCAGCCCTGCATGTGTGGCTTGATTGAGTGTTCAAAATGATTTAAATTCTTTTGATCTTTAACATTAAGAGATACATTATGTAAGATTTAGATAAAGAGCTAGCC